ATAAAAATAAAAGACAATGGTACAAGAACATTAGCCATAAAGTTGTAGCTGTAAAGCAAGTGGACTCTTGGTAACTGATGCAGCTGCTAGTTAAAAAGCACGAAAGCAGCCTGGTTTGCAAGACAGACTCCGGATGCTTAGAATGGTGGCCGTGGGAATGGGGAGCGGTAATGAAAACGACTCTGTACACAGAAAGGCTGGTGGGACGCGCTTAAGAAGCAGTTCCCCCAAATCCTCTCAAAGGCCTTTTAGGACTGTGTGAACAATATTTGTGAAGGGCATAGACAAGTGTCTGGCACAAAACAAGTGTTCTAAACATGTTTGCTGTTATTAACTCCATAGTGAGAAGCTAATAAAGAATTCTGCAAAAAAAAAAGGGGGGGGGAGTAGCATAAAAAGGGAGATAAATATGAAAAGACTTGTCTAAAAGTATTTAAAGTTGTTTCATCTAGGTGGAGGGAAATAGGGTGTTACTATTTTTTTTTATTACAAGCCTTAGGGAAGATTCAACTCCACAATTGCATTACAAATAAAAACTTACAAGGAAATAAGGAATAAAAGGCAGGGAAACTGCCTGGCATGCTAGCAAATACCGGGAGAAAGCTGGCGTAACAATATTTATACCAGATAAAATAGAATTCAGTTACTTAAGAAGGATAAAGAAGGCATTACATAATTACAAAAGTACAATACTTTTGAACTTATGTATCCCTAGCAGCATAGCTTTACAATAGATGAGGCAAAACCTGACAGGATTATAGGAAGAAATGTTTTTAAAAACATACACAATCTTATTACCACAGTCAGAAGTTGATATATTAAGCAAAGGAAAAAATAAGATACTGATTATGTGAGCAATAAAGTTTATAAACTAATCTATTAGATATTCACAGTGCCCTGAATCCAAGGAGAATTCAATTACACGTGGGATATTTACAGAAGTTGGCCAGGCTCTGGGTCAATAAGAAAGTCTCAACAAATACAATGAAATTTAAAAATCCAGATTATACAGACCTCATTCTATGATCACAATAAAATTGAATTACTTATCAATAAGGAAAAGAACATTTTTGAAAGATATCCAAAAGATATGTTTGAAAACTTAGAAAATGGCCTCTTAAATAACTTATAGGTTAAAAACAAAATAACAATAGAAATTGCTAAACAGCGGATAATGATGAAAGCTCTATGTATCAGCTAAAGCAATGCTTAGTGTTATACTTAAGCCTTTAAATGCATGTATAAAAAAACAAAAAGATATAAATTAAGTAAGCTAATTTTCATTTCAAAAGCCCCCCTCCAAAAAAAAAAATGAAAGAAAACACCTAAAGAAAGTAAAGACTATATCAATGCCAATATCCTGGTTTTAATGTTGCACTATACTTTTGCAAGATGTTATATTTGGGGGAAACGGTGTAAAGGATACACAAAACCTTGGCACATGCACCTTGGGCCAAAAAGTTGACCACTGCCTCAGTCCATCATTATTTAAATGCAAAGATAAGAACCGACCACTCAGAATTCTGTGAAACATCCCTTCCTGTAACCAGGGCTGGGAGTGCGGTAGAAAGTCTGAGTGTTAAGTCCTGCAGCAGGATGAACATCCACCCACAGACGCAGCACCCTTGGAGGAACCGGTCTGCCCCCCACAGTGTATGCTCGCCCCCCGCTTTGTAGCAGTTAGAGAAATGAGTGGCAGGGGTCCCAGGACAGCAGCCTCAGAAAGCTGCAGACATGGTACCAGAAAGCACAATTCGGTCCATACTTTTGATGCATTTCCACAACAATTTTTTTCCCCAAAGGAAAAAGTGACACTTTTCTTATAAACATGACTTCCCAAAATGTTGTCCTCTGAGAAAGTTTGACTAAGCTTCTTTAAAAATGAAAATCTATCCATTACTGTAACAACAGAGAACGAAAACATAGCTCTTTAATAAGAAAGGAGGCAATTTCCAAAAGATTATTTCACACAACCCTTCTGTAAGTAGCGTATTTCTCACTAGAGGGAGCTCAGAACCCACTGATCAAGAAGAGCTGAATAAAATGCCATTTTACTTTAGGGGAAAACCATCTGTTTGAGTAAAATATGACATCTGTTTCCAGAAGTTGGGAATCTTTCATATGCCAATTTCCTTCAATTCTTAACCTCTGAAATTTTAAATTATATAAAAGGTGATTAATACAAAGTTCCTAGTAGTCAATTGATATAATAAGTTAGTATTATAAGTATGGTGTGGGTCTAATAAGAGATGTGGCATTNTCAAAGTTCCTAGTAGTCAATTGATATAAGTTAGTATTATAAGTATGGTGTGGGTCTAATAAGAGATGTGGCATTATCCTTTTCTCTTGTGAGAAAAAATTCCTAGTATTCATGAGAGAGAGCAAATACTATAAGGCAGTGATGATTATGGGTACCCAGAAAGGCGGTTTGGGGCAATACAATTCTTGCTCTCTAGCTGCCCTTTTGCTGTTTCCATGTACAACTCTGGGAGGAATTTTGCCCTTTAAAGTTGCACCTTCTTGGGTACATTTGGGGAAGGGGGCTATCTCATAGCCAGTGTGCTCAGCAGCCTGCTTCTTCCCTGTCACCTACTACATCTCCTCTGGCACTCTCAGCTCAGAAACTGAAGATCCACCAAAAACAAGTGCTGCCACCACCCTGAACTCAGTGGCCAAATCCTTCATTCCCAACAGCAGTGTTAACTCAAGACTGTGGAAGAAAGTTTTCCTAAAGGCTTGGGGGCAGGGGGGAGGAGGCTGGGGGGCAGCACTGTATCTTAAAAGTCCTTTGTCCCTTTACCCTCTGCAACTGGGAACTTCTCACTGGCCATCATTGCTCCTTGGGTTCCAGAACCACTAAAATCCCCAGGTTGTAACACCTTTACCCTACCCTTTGAAATTCTTCACACTTCTCTTTATCTTAGAGTTCCAATATGTCCCATGTAAGTATGTCCCACGTATTATATGTGGTACATACTTATCCTAAAAAAAAAAAAAAAAAAAATTCCTTGTTTATCTGAAATTCAAATTTTACTAGACATTCTTTTATTTTTATTTTTTCTAAATATAACAGCGCTAGAGCATTTGCTCTGCTTTCCCTGGGGCCAGGGGAGGAAACCCAGGGTACCCCCTTTATTTAATAAGTTCTGTCTGTTTCATCATCTCTCATCCAGGCCATACCCAGAGACAACCACATATCTCATTTGTCTCCCTTAGAATAAATATTTGGCTTATGTTTTAAATAGCAGAGTTTTTTCCTATCTCAGTAGTACATCGCCTGTTAACATATGTGCATTCAACAAATTAGACAGATTAATTTGCTTTTGGGTTTCAGAATAGCCTCATCCACACATTTAGTTCCTTGAATTCCTCTTCATTCAGGGTATACTAAGTACACGCACATCAAGATGAGTAAGAGAAGGGCCCTGTCTGTGAGGACAGTGTAGTTGAAAAGGAGGAAGGAAGCCCGGCCGGGCGTGGCTAAGCGGTTGAGCGTAGGCCTAGGATCCAGGAGACGGTGGTTCGATACCCGGTCAGGGCACATGCCCGGGTTACAGGCTCGATCCCCAGTCGGGGGTGTGCAGGAGGCCGCCGATCAATGACTCTCTCATCACCGGTGTTTCTATCTCCCTCTCTCCCTCTCCCTTCCCCTCTCTGAAATCAATAAAGCTATTAAGTAAAAAATAATAAAATAATAAAATAAAATAAAATAAATAAAATAATAAAATAAAAAGAATTATCCTGCAACAGCTGATGGCCCTGAACCTAGCTCACATTTCGGTTGGACATGGATTTTAAGTTGGTGACATTTGAAGGGCAAGGGCAGTCTTCTGGAACACCAACATCACACTTATATTTTTCTTAAATTAACTCCCTTTCTGAGAGAACCGTCTGGAAATTGGTCCCTTAAAATAATCCTTTCTATTAACCTTTTGGAAAGTCTTCTTGACCTTCAATGCAGGAAAGAAAACGCGGAGTGTGGGGCCAATCCCAGCAAGAGGAATTAAATGAACTGAAGGCTCACTTGCCCCAGATGGATATGGTGCCCAAGTAAGAATGGGTTTTACCAAGAGGACCAAAGGCTGAGTCCGTGGTGAAGTCTCTCCCTCTCCCTCTCCCTCTCCCTCCCCCTCCCCCCTC